GAAAGTTCTGGAATTAAATATTAGAGGCTGCAAAAGGTTTGAGTTGTGGCGTAAGTTCACTTTTCACTATGACAACGGCGCAGCTTATCATCGAGTCAGAACTACAACTGACTGGTTTACATTATAGGATACTTGTGTCTAAGGAGTGGCCTAGTTCAAGTCCAGGCTCAGGTCTAAATAAGAATTGGAGGAAAACTTGTTGATGTTCAGGAATATTCTTCATCAAGCCTGAACCTGATGCTCTTAGTAGGTTGAATCGGTCTTTAAAAGACTTAAAGCTCTCACTGATCCGCAATATAGTTAAAAATCCTGCTATTTATACTACAGTCAGCACTATAAACCAAGGCAATTTCTACTCCTTAAATATTCCTCCCTGCCTCCTCCTACCTGCATGTTGTTCTCCACGTCCCGTTCGTCTTCGTTTATGAGAAGCATGTATGGTTTTCGGGGCAACCCGGGGGCTTTAAGACCAATGAAGAAGAGGAGCCCGGTGCAGAAGTAGCGGATCAGCCAGAGAGCGAACTGCACCTGAGAGGTTCAATAAACATTTCAAAGTAGATCAATACAGATTCTCATTTAATTCTCCTTCAGCAGCTTTGTGCTTTATTTCAAAACGCTAAATCTTTAATCATCTACACATTCAGTTAAAACCACAGATAATCAGAGGTAGTAAAGTTGGAAAAAAGAACAAAAACTTCAAGTCATGCTTAGAATTACAAACTGACCACTGCTGACTCAGCATGGGAGGAGCAACATCGTGACTTAGTAAATCTGCTAACAGGGTTTAGGATCTGAAACAGGACTTGCAGTGACTCAGCAAAACAGGGAAACGTCACTAAACCTGTGCGGCTGTCAGCCGGGGTGGATGGTTACTGCTTTGCATTCAGACGGCTTTTGAATCTTGAAAGGAGTGGCTCATGCAGCTAATACTTATCTCACCTTTGGCCTGACTGAAAATAAAAGGAGTTTGATTGTAATGCCAGATGCAAAGATTGATTGCACGCTTTTGGATTAACTTGGTGAAGCAATACTTAAACCTTTAAATCTTTTACAAGATTTTACAATTAAAATCAGTACTGAAAAAAATGGAAGTGTTTTTAGTCTTGACTTCTTTCTAATATGTTTCCTAAATTATGCCTCACCTCTTCACCAGTCGCCTCCAGGCCCCACCACCAGTGCGGACTGTACCAGGAGATGAAGGCGAGGTTCTCAGCAGAGAAAGCCAAGGCCCAGAACACCAGCAGCGCCGTGCTGTGTCCCCTCGTCCGGTCCATCAGCGGGACCCTTTGCCTCTCCACCCTGAGCAGAGCTAAAGCCCAGGCCCAGCCCATCATGGAGAAGCAGCCATACAGGACCACATAACCCGGGAGCTCTCCGCCGCTTGCAGCTCGCCACACCATCCCACCCAGAAACTGGAGCAGGAGAAGCACGGTGAGGACCATCTGGAAGCTGTAGAGGCAGGAGCGAGGGATGAACTTGGGCTCCATGGAGGTGCCATACTTCTGGTAGCAAATGCAGTGGACGGTGCCGAGGAAGAAGGAGATGGCCAGCAGGATGGTGGGGACCAAGGTGAAGTAGAAGCAGGGGGAGATGCCTTGATCCACCCAGGTGTGGGAGATGGAGGTGTTTGCCTCACAGTAGCTCTGGATGAACACCATGACTGCAGCTGAGGAACAGCACACAATCAATTATAAACCATCAGAGGAACCAATTAGTTTCATTATTTACTCAAAAAGTGGAAAACATGTATGATTAGACTCCAAGTATTGGATTAGACTCCAATTCTCTCAGGTGTAATCCATTGATCAGCTAAATAAACCATCAGAAATGGTGTAAATAAAGGATTGATGTGAGGAAAAATAATAAAATGGGATTTTTATTAAGAAATACAGAAAAAAATCGACATAATGACTAACATGTGCGTCAAAACATGTAAACAATCCACGTTTAAACGTATATATGCATAAAAAAATAAAGAAAAAAAACAGCAAAAAGAAAAAAAAAAACTACAGAGACATTTTACGGTTAGAAGTGAAAAGTTATTGATTTTGAACCTTACCTTTCCTGTCGATTTGAGATAATGGAAAAGCCTCCAGTTATCACCAGAGATTAGCCTCCAGCAGCTCCTGGAACCGGCGGCTAGTTGTTGCTAACAGTCTCGGTTTAAATACAATGACAGCCGTGTTTAACAAAGCGGCAGCTAAAAGTCCAGCTTCTTTTACTCTACCTCTCTGTCATAACTGCTCTCATCTTAGCGTCTAAGAGCTGCACCACTGTTTGTCCTTGTTACGTCATGCGTTAAACAACAGCTATTCATGACTCGGCAACCGACGCTTACGCAACGTCGTCTTTGTGCTGCAGTGCCCCCTAGTGGATGAAAGGTCAAACTACTCAAAAAATAGACCGCCTGTTTTTTATGAAGGTGGATTTGTTTCTTTATTATTAAATAAAAAGAAGGTTGCTTCAATCAAAAAAATGTAGTTTCAATTAAAAACACCTTCAATGGAAAAAAAAGTATTTGAATCGAAAAAACAACAACATTTCTTTAATGGAAAATGTTTTCTTTGATAGAAATCAAGTTTTTTTTGTTTAAATCAACTTTTTTAAATTGAAGTAACAATGTTTTTTGATTGAAAAATATGTAATGGGTAGGACATTTGTGTCTTTATCATTCAATCAAAAAAGTCAGTTAAATGAAAAGATAAATGTTTTCAATCATAGAAAATAGTTTTTGATTACAAATAAAATATTGGAGACTTAAAAAAATACATTTGAACACTTTCATTTTTTTTTATTGAAAAATTTTTCTTTGATAGAAGTGATCTTTTTTTCTGTTTGGGACTTACATGGGTAGAACATTTGCGTCTTAATCATTCAATTCCAAAAAAAAAAAAAAAAAGTTTCAATCAAAGAAAAAACTGTTCAAAAAAGCTTCAAGGACAAATACTTTTTTTCTTTGATTGACAAGTTTTTTGCTTGTCACTGAAGTGAAGGTGATTTAAATTGAAAATATATTTTTTGATTGAAGCAACCTTTTTTTTAATTGAATAATAAAGAAACAACCTACCTTCATAGTTTAGAATTATAATGAAAATTTCATTTATATTATTTACTTAGGTTGTAAATAATAAGTTGTTGAATTTATATAGAATATTAACAATTTAAAGGGACATTGCAGAAAAGAAAGAAGAACTTTCTCGTGCGCACCAGAAACTTCCTCATGCACAACTCATCTGTTATTTTTTGTGTGCAACCCAGACACTTTCACGTGCGCAACAAACAATTTTCCGAGTGAACCTGATTTTTTTCCTTTTCAATATGTAACATAATATTTCAGGCTACCATGTATAATAAAAATACATGACCTTTTTGTGCTATCATATTCCTTATTTGAGCTTGAATACAATGATGGCATTGTTGCCTTGCTTGTCAGTTTAACACAATTAAAAGAAATAGGTAGATGTATTTCTGCACACTGCTAGCACAAGATATGATTTAGTGCGCATGAGAACATTTTTCTTATTCTTCATCGTCAGTTTCCTGTTAGGGTCTTGGTTTCCAGACTTTTGCCATTAGGGCCAAAACATTTAATTGGAATTATTGGGGGTTGTGGGCAAGGGTGTAACTTTGTGATGAAAGGTGGTGGGGCGCTCTAAGGCTGGCGGCTGATGGACCTACAGTTACTCGACCAGAACGCTTTCATTAGCTCTTTATACTTTCCAAAAATGAGCTCAAACATATATTTATTGAACGCGTTCCTATTGTTGAGAACACAAGAGAACTATAATACACTTATATTTATATTTACAGATAGTTGGAGCGATGCCTTTTAGTGCATTACTGATATAAGGCCTAAAAACAATGTATAAAAAATAAAAAATAATGAATAACAGCTGATTCCGATGCCAAAATCGATATCATGCATCCCCAGAATGTGTAATCTCAGCTCCATCCATCCAGAAAAATATGCATGTGCTGCATTTTAAATATAGCATAGCATAGTTTTTTTCTTGTAAACTTTCTGGTAAACTTAGAGATATATTTTATTGCATGTTGCATATCCCAGTAAATCTGTTTCACTTTTAAATCTGCAGCTCTCCCTACTTCTCTCTGTGCTCTGTTAAAAAAGATTTATGAACCTCTTTACTAATATAATGATGCCTGACACAAAAGTTCAAGATCTGTAAAAGCTCTGCAGTCTGATTCTATCTGTACAACAAGAAAACATGTTAATTTTAACCTGTAACTGGGAGTCATGGTCCTCTGAGAAGCCAAAACTGAGAGTTTTTAACTAGTAAAGAACAAACTATGTTTTCTCAAGCTTCTTGCATTATAATACTAACTTGGATAAAGTTATAATCTGTTGTCATTTCTAGCTGAAAAAGCTCTGCATGTCTAATAAACAGATTTTTCAGCGCTATTATCTCTAATTATTTTAACCAACCCGTCTCCTAACTTTTACTTAAACATCGAAGTAGCTGCTGGTTAATATTCACTGAGTGCTGCTGTGTGTCTCTCCTCCAACAATGTAGCTACTTTGTATGCAGTGAAATGCGACCGCAAATCAGGTGTCTCAAAGCGACAGATCTGATGATCTCAAAACGCTCTGAACACAGATAGCTGCACCCAACCTCTGCTACCTTTGGTTAAAGTAAATAAACGGAAAGGGGAAAAAAGCAGAAATTATTGGTGGGGACAAGTCACCACCAGTCCTTCAGAAATTTACGTCTGTGGTTGTGGAGTAAAAGTAGTTTTGGATGCAAATTTATATGAAGCAGTTACACTCAGTTTTAAACCAAAGACTAACCTTGCAGACTCTGCAGAGCACATCTGACCTTAAGATGTTGTAAAATAGTGTTTTATATCAAATTTACCCTAAACATCAACTAAGGGCTTTCTTGAAAGCAAACTAACTGTCAAACTGGCAGCTGATTATACTGTTATGCTTAATCATGAATCAAGTAAGCCAGGAACAAGCAAATATTTTGGGTCCATCCACCTGTTGAATGAAATATACACAATTATTAGGCAACAATTAGTATTAAACCTAATAAATATAAAAACTTTATATAAATAATTTGAGACTGATATTTTATTATTACGTGATAACTTATATTGTTATACAATAGCCAGTAGTTGGCGTTAAATACAGACAGTAAAGACCAAAAACCTAAATGAATTAGAATACCATTGGAGACGTATTTGTTTGAATCACTCAAAATCAGACAGTGAAACTCATTTTATAAAGATTAAATAAAAAGGAACATATTTATAGTTTGTTTCTATTAATTTTGAGTATTAATGTTCACAGCTAAGATACCACAAAAATGTGTTATTTCAGAAATGAGGATATTATATAAAACTAATAATAAATACAGATTTGTTACATCAGGGCCATGTAAAGTCAATGTGCTGAAGTTGTTTTTGTATTGCTGCTTATTTTTTACTTTTTAATGTTTTTATTATCTTTCCCTGAATCTGCTGTGTTTTCCTGCGTTGGTCGTTTCTCTGATCTTGGTGTTTCCAGTCTTGATTGTTTTCCCCCTGAGCTCTTCTAGTCAGATTTTCTACCCAGCTGCGGTTTAGTTAGAGTTAACATGAAATGTTTAAATAGGCAGACAGAATACAGATTAATGTGTTCAATCAGATGAACAGAAAGCTGAGTGGAAGGATATCGGACACAACTGTCAAAATCTGTGCTCTGGAGAAAAAAGGACAGAGCCGTTTGCTCAGTGGTTCAAAGTCCTCTTTTCAGATGAAAGTGTATTTTACTTTTTTTTTAATTTAAACAAAAATGATGTAGAGTCAGCACCCATTTTTAATTTTTTTTTCTCAGAGTCATTGTGAAGTTTCTACAGTCCATGATTTTTGGGATTGCATGCTGCCTGCTAATTTCTCCACTGCGTTTTATCAAGTCCAGAGAGGACGGACACATGCATCCATTGGAGCATTTTAAATCGTTTTATGCTTTCCTCTGCTAAAAAGCTTTATGTGGACGCTGATTTCATTTTCCAGCATGACTTGTAAGGTGCACAGTACCTGCTTTAGAAAGCATGTTGTTGCTTTGCTAAATTGTTAAATGTATAGTGAAGGATTTTCCCGCCCTCTCCACTTAAATTAATGCACATGCTAAACCCTGTACCCTCACCTGAGAGGGAATACCTATTAAATGCATATGAGAGCGTGCACCAGCCCATTTCTCCTTGTGCACGCTCTGTTTAAAAGTTGCTGTTTGCATCAATCATACAAGCTTACTTTCTAGAAGAAGATTTTCAATTTTTCCACTATGTCAGACTCACCACCAGTATCTGAAAATGGGGACGAGCATGTAGGACGGCCTTACGTAAACAGATCACCAGAATGATTGACATTGAAGAAGACCACTTGAAAAAAAAAAAAAAAAAAAACTTTCCCCACTATACTTAAAAGTTATATTTTAACAATAATAATAGAACTTTATTGAGCTCACATTGGAGACATTTTAACTCTGCATCTTAACCCATCCCCTTGGGGAGCAGTTGGCTGCCATTGTGCGGCGTCCAGGGAGTAGTTTGGGGTAAAGGGTCTTGCTCAGAGAACCAGTGTGCAGTCGGGATCAAACCGGGTACTTGCACTGGAAAAAAACAAAATCTAGATAAGTCATTTTTTTTCTTAAAATAGCTGCATTTGCTCTTGAATTAAGGAGGTAAGAGAAACATTTTGCCAATGGAACAAGACAATTTAATTTAAAATAAGAAAACACAATTGCATTGTCTTATTTCAAGTGCATATTATCTAATTATCCTATTTTAAGAGTAAAAATACTAATTTCATTGGCAAACTATCTTATTTACCTACTCAAATTAAGGGTAAATACACTTAATTTAAGAAATTTTTTACTTATTTCTAGGTCGTTTTTCCAGTGTGCAACCTTCTCAGAGCACAAGCACACTGCTATAACCCACTAGGCCAGCACACACCCCTTAACTGTTGCCTCAATAAATTTATTCTAAAGTTAAAGTAAAATTTGAATGCATCTGGATGCACTTATGTTCACTGTTAAACATTTTGCAATAAGAACCTTTTTACTGGCTGAAATTGCAAAAGATGAACAAAAGATGGCACTAAATGCAAAGGATTACTCAGACTGAAGATTGGTGAACACAGTTCTGTACTGACTCTTACCCATTCCTGCAGCTGGGGAAGACAAACAGCAACCCATAGAAGTCACATCACCAACATTTGTAAAAACAAATTATGATTTAGCGTGATCTAACAGCTGCATAAAAGCCCCAGACTGACTGATGATATTGTCCAGCAGCGACAGGTTTGGGTTTCAGT